GAGAAGAGAAGAGAAGAGAAGAGAAGAGAAGAGAAGAGAAGAGAAGAGAAGAGAAGAGAAGAGAAGAGAAGAGAAGAGAAGAGAAGAGAAGAGAAGAGAAAAGAGGGAAGAGAGGGGAGGGGAAAGACAGGATAAGGGAGATTAATATAAAATACAAAAAGGATGATCAAATTCCAAGTAACGATTCACTCAGCAAAGACGACTTTATCTTTTATAATTACAAGCACACACAGAATTCTGCAGGAGGAAGAAATCACGGACTGGATGCATTTAAGGGAGCCAGCAAAGGGGACCCAAAGGATGTAATCTTGAAAGACAGTAAGACATATTTGCCAGATAAGGAAGAGAAGATCACTAAGGGCTCCAGGAGAAATGAAGCATTTACAAAACAGAAGAGCAGGCCTGTGTCAGCAGAAGGCTGACAAGACCTACACGTGGTGAGTGCATGACAAGCGAAGGCAGGAACAAACAGGTGGGTGATTAAGTAATTAAACTCTGGGCCGAACTGCCCCAACCTGGGCACCATCACCTCTGCCTGCTTCCTACTCTACAACACAGGCATGGCTCTGGAATGCCTCCTCAGGGAGAGCTGTTTGCTGGGAAACGCTGGAGATGCAGCGTTAGAAAGCTTTGGCACAATGCTAACACAACAAATATTAATAAAGGCTTCAACAATCATCTTCAAAGTAAAAGACTGTTTTAATGAAATAAAAATCTATACTTTAAGTATGAATTAAAAGAAAAAAATTTAAAATCGAAAACTGAGAAACAAAATCTAACCTAAGTCACATACGGCAAATTAAAATATTTTAATACCTAGAAAAGTGGAGAACACTTTTGCACAGCTATCCTGGGGAAACACTTGAACATATGTATGTCTATACACACACACACACATACAATATGCCAAAGGATTGGTCGTGACACTATCTGAGATGACAAAAGAACAAGAGTGAGGTGGCCCTGGATGTCCACTAAAGGAGGAGATTAAGTAAATTATGATTGCTACGCTACTAGTTAACAAGAGAGAGACAGAACTGGAATAAAAACACACACCCAGGATAATGCTTTGGGGAAGTTAAGTTAGAAAATAATACTTAAGAGTATGGTTCAAGGCATATGGGGAAGACCATATAAATACATGGTGAAAAATACACAGAACTAATCTAGAAGACACTACCAAAGTTAGAAATAAAGTTTCTACTGGAAAAAGCAGTGTGGGGTATCAAGGGGGGAATTTTTTTGCTTGATATTATTTCATTTGTATTTAAAAAAAATGTTTTAGATTTACTAATTTTATCTTGTGTTAGTGTTTTGCCTACATGTATGCATGTGCACCACAAGAGTGCCTGATGCTCTCAGAGGTCAGAAGAGGGCATCAGGTCAGGGCATCAGATCCTCTAGAACAGATTGTGAGCTACCATGTGGGTGCTATGAATTGAACCCAAGAACTCTGCAAGAACAACAAGTGCTCTTAACAGCTGGACTATCTCTCAAGTCCCTCCCTTTGTATTTCAAACAAGCAACTTTTTCTATGAGAAACCATTAGTGTTACATTATTCATTTAACTGAAGCAATTTTCAAATGAGAAACAGAGCACCTGGAAAGCAGCATTCTGAATGCCTATAGCCTTCCCAATTCTGCGGCTCCATTCCCATCCTCTCATTGTTTGGGCAGTGAGGCTGGCTGTGTGACAGGCTCACTACATAACCTAGACTGTCCTTGAAATCACAGTTCTCCTGCCTCAGCCTCCAAAGTGCTGGGGTTTGAGGTGTAGGCCACTACTCCCAGCCTCTACCCTATCAGATTTGTAGAGCAAAGTCACCAAAAATTTGGCCTGCTCTGGAAACTCAGAAGTCCTAAGAGAATGACATAATACTACTGAGAAAAATTTCTCAGAAATACGTACTGCTGCATCCTTCAGTCTCCAAAGAGGGTTATTTCTAAATCAGTTTCTTCCCAGTATGAGACAATTTATAAAGTTGAGCTGAGTCTTGCTATCTCATACTCATTACTCTAACTACAGACCCAAGTGCTGGGATTATAAGTATGTGTTACCAGATCTGGTTGGCTACTATGTTTTTTCAAAGTGACATTAAAAATAAAGTCAATACGGGTTAGAGATGTCTCACAATGGGGCAGCATCTCCCTAGCATGAGCAAGGCCCTTAGGTTTGATTCCCCAACATCAAAAATAAATGATAATAAAATGGCACTAAACATCTTGCTCCAGCTTAGATTAGCCTCCAACATACACAAGACAATACAGAAGCGAGCACAATTATTAACAATGATACCTAAGAAACAATCTATCTGGGGCTGGAGGGATGGTTCAGAGTTTCAGAGTGCCTGCTGCTCTTGCATAGTATCTGAGTTTGACTCACAACCACCTGTAACTCCAAGGGATCTGATGCCCCCAGCTTCAATGTGCACCCAAGTACACAACCCCTACACACAAATACATATAATTAAAAATAAAATAAATCTTAAAAAAACAAAAAACCAACAACCTATTCACCTGATCTTTCTTCTTCAGTTCTTCAACTTGTCGGAGCTGTTCGGAAGTTAGCACAATCTCCATCCGCTGCATGTCTCTCATCAGCAAACGCTGAGACTCCAGAAACTGGTCATTGGCCTTCTGCCACGTGTGTTTTAACTGGTTGTGTTGTTGTCGTTCTTGCTCCAGGAGATGGCAAACTGTTTAGGAGCCCCCCAATCAAAAACACTGCATTTTAATGGTAGGCAACTTCTTTTGCACAGGACTCCTACAGGTCTGGCCAACATTCTATTCTGTGAGTTTGCCTCTTGACTGACACCAACGAGCAACCTACACCTGAATATGATGACTATTCCCACCAGCCCTCTAAAGCAGAGTCCCCAACTATGCCCTTAGGAAGAGACAAACAACTTCTGCACTTTGTAAGTTTTAGAAAACCTGAAGTAAATAAAAAATGTTAGTGTTTCTTGACTGTAGGACATAGAGCTTAAGAGTTTAATTATCACTATGTTCTCCTGGGACACAACACAATAAACCACACACAAACCTAATATTGAGAAAATATTATTCTAATAATATTTAAATAATATTGTTTTAAAAATCTTCAAAGGTTCATTTACATCCCACCCGATAAAGCCTGACCTCTCAAGTGTAAAGTCTCCATGACCTGGCCCATGTGCACTACTCCAGTACCATATCTGTCCATTTTTTCTTGCATACTAATTTGCTGAACTACAGGGGGTGGGGAGTGGGGGGTGGATTCACTGTGTAGCCCAAGAACTTAGAAGCGTCTCTCCACCTCTGGTGTGATAGGGTTCTAGGTGTGTGCCATCACACCTGCTGACCCACTTTGCTTATATTCCCTTAGCTGCATACATAGGCCTGTGTTCCATGTTTCAAAAAAAAAAAAAAAAAAAAAAAAAAAACACTTAAAACTTGATTTAGAAAAAACAATGCCAGCCATGATTCCCAGTCCCACTTCACTCACGTGTCTTTCCACAGGCCTGTGCACATCTGTCTCTCTCCCTTATCTTAATAAAACTCTTGTTAGTGGGGGAAAAAACACAAAATATTAAAAATAAGTTTTAAAAGCACCATTTGAGCATAACTTCTTTCAGCTGGATATAGCAGTCTGAGTACAAGCTAATGAGGGGCTTGAGTTCAAGAACAGCCTGGGCAACCTCTGCCTCCAAAAATGTTTTTCAAAAAAAATTTTTAAATACTTTTTTGGTTTTTTTTTTTTTTTGGGGGGGGGGTCGGGGGTTTCAAGACAGGGTTTCTCTATTTCTCCTTGACTGTCTTAGAACTCACTCTGTAGACCAGGCTAGCCTCCAACTCAGAGATCCACCTGCCTCTGCCTCCCAAGAGCTAGTATCAAAGGTGTATACCACCACTGCCCGGTTTGTTTGATTTTTAAAAAAACCTACCTAAGGGACAAAAAGAACTGGCCACTCTTTGTCAGCAGTACTGCCCCATCTCAACCCACTTCCCATAGGGCAGCTGTATGGTGGCTCTAACCAGCAGCTGCCTAGCTAAGACTGCATCCCTAATGACCAGGCTCTAACCAGCAGCTGCCTAGCTATGACTGCATCCCTAATGACCAGGCTCTAACTAGCAGCTGCCTAGCTATGACTGCATCCCTAATGACCAGGTTAGACTGTAAACTGCTGGTAGACTGTTACAATGCTTCTCAATTTTTATCCTTTCTTTTAAAAATTCTATTATTATTTCTTTCATTTCTTATTACATTTTAATTAGTTATTTTGTCTGTGTGGTTGTGTGTACGTGGAGGTCAGGGGACAACTTACAGAAGTTAGTTTTCTCCTACCATGTAGAACCTGGGGATTAAATGTAGGTTATCAGACTTAGCTACTGAGCCATCTCAACCACTGCAAAGACACTTTTTTGATGTGTTATATGTCAGTACTGGAGTTTTTGTTTAGTTTTAATTTCTTGTTTTTTAAAACTAAGGACCAAATCCAGGGCACTGTGCTTACTAGGCAAGTGATCTACTACCAAACTAAGTCCCCAATCACCAGAAATTATTGTTTTTACTTCCTCATTTTAATGGACCTTTTGATATTTTCTCATATATATTAGGAAGGTTTGATAACCTCAATGAGTTACACTATTTTTAGAAGGGTTAGGACACAAATTTTAAATTTAGATAACTTGATAACTTTAATTTTAATCAAACTGAAACCTCTTTTGGACACCTACTGACAGTATAGGTGTCTTTCTGATTCCAACAGCACATGTAAAAACTGTTTCCTGAAGGTCAGACCTGCTTAAAGGTTGGGATATTTTCACAACATTGTGTGTAGTAATTCTTTAGGCATGTATTTTAGTTTTCAACTATTTGGAGGGGAAAGCTAGATCATATATAATCCTATATATTGTTCACATCTCTGTTTTCCACAGCATTTGATAAAAGTATCCACTATAGGATTCAACCACTACAGACTACATCCTGTACACTAATATATGTTTCCAGTAAGATTTCAATTTGTGTAAGAGAAAAAAAAATAAGAGGAGGCTGGGGCTATAGTTCAGGAATGCTCGCCTCTCTTTTTTAAAAGTTACTTTATTTTCACTATCCCCTAGCTGGATTTCATTTCCTTCTATTGTACTATTGTGAAATGTAGCCAACCACAGGAGCATAACAATACCCACAACCATTTCCAACAGAAATTACAACTGTTTTAATGTTTCAGTATGTTTGCTACAGGTGTCTTCTGGGGGCGTGGGGGAATGGGGTCTCTATCCTGAGCTGGATTCCAACTTGATAAGTGGCAACTAAAGATGACCTTGAACTCCTGGCTGTCCTGCCTCTAGGTCCAAGTGGATCACAGGTGTGTGCCACCAGTCTCAAACTTTACTCACACTCATTGTGAACACCTCAGAATTGCAGTTGCTACATGTGTTGCTCTATCTTGCTATCTGATGTGTCAAGGAAACAGCAGTTATCACTCTAACCCAAGTATTCAATTTTATAATGGTTTTTTCTTTTGGTTTGTTTTGGAGAAATTTGCCTGCCTTTTTTTTTTTTTTTTTTTAATGTGTTTTGTTTTTAAAAGAGAGCCCCAGAATTTGAAAGAAAACAAGACTTATGGGAGGGTTCATTTGGAGCAAGAAATGGAAGGGGAAAATGATGCAATTATATTATGATCTCAAAAAATAAAATGATTTTTGAAAGTATTTTACTTTTAATTTTCAATTATGCATATATGAGGGGGATATGATTATATGCACACAAGTAGAGGTATCTGCAGAGGTCTGAACAGGACACTGGATACTTCAGAGCAGGCATTAGTGTTACAGGTAATTGTGAGTTGCCCACCAAATCTCTGCAAGATGTCCTCTATAAGAATAGCAGTGCTCACTGGGCAGTTGTGGAGCACGCCTTTAATCTCAGCAAAGGCAGGCGGATCTCTGTGAGTTTGAGACCAGCCTGGTCTACAGAGTAAGTTCCAGGACAGCCAGGGCTACAAAGTGAAACCCTGTCTTGGGGAAAAAAAAAAAAAAAAAGTGCTATTAACTGCTGACCTATCTCTCCAATCTATATTTGTTTGTTTTGTTTTGGTTTTGGTTTTGTGTTTTGTTTTTTGTTTTTTTTTTTTTGTTTTTTTTTGAGACAGAGTCTTACTGGTCTCAAACTCATAATTCCTTGTTTCAGCTTAAGAAGTTAAGTGTTAAGATTAAAGGTGTAAACCACCACACACAGGCCCAGCTACTTTTTAATTTTTTTTTTATTTGTGGAAATGCAGAGTTCACTTGTACATCACATTGCTACTTCAATAGTGAAATCAAAACTGGCCCGTAGAAAACAGGATACGAGGCCCTCTCTACCCAACTCTCACTTTGGCTAATCTACTTCTCTCTAAATGATTATGCAGACTAAAGCACTTTAAGCAGAAGTCGTCTAACTTCATCACCTTCCTGTCCCGAGCTCATGCCTTGTGAAGCTATTACTGTGCGGTGGTGGAAGGAGAAGCTCCTCACAATCCAAACCCCTTAGCAGTTTCCACAGGAGCTTTCAAATTGACGATAACGCTTACATTGAATCACTAGCATGCTGCATTGGTGGCTTAGGATTTGTTGCTGTTACTAATCAATATAAATTTTACTTTGTAATTTCTCTTGGAATAAAGTAAAAATATACACAACATATTTATTTACCTTCATGCAATTCTTTCCTCAATTTCTCAGCATCTTCCTGTAGAACAGATTTCTGAGTGTTCAAAACAGCTACATACATCTCCAGATCAGTCCTACAAGACTTCTCAGCCTCCAGATAATGATTCAGCTCCTTAACCTGAAAGAAGTACAAAACTCAACTTTACAACCATAGTAGGAATGGCAAATAAAATAAGTATCAGCAGCTGTATTTTAAACTTTAAAATATGATACAAATTTAGAAAATAACATAACAGATGCTAGCCATAATCTATCTCTTAGGTAAATATATAATTGAAATTATATGTAATGATTTTATATCATGTTTTTCAAAAAGGTACTTCTAATTTGTATTTCCATAGCAATGCATGTATACACTTGTTTGTTCTCCTTTTCAGCAACACAGATATGATTTGTTTATGTGTGTGCATGCAAATATGTGCACATTTAGGTGGAAGTGCACATATATGCATGGGTGCACAAATATGTATAAATCACACAACTACAGGTGTAATTCCTCACACACCAGCCTCCTGAGGTTTTGTTTTGTTTTTTGAGATAGGGTCTGCCACTGACCTGGAACTTACCTAGAAGGTTAGGGTGGCTAGCCAGTAGGCCCCAAGTATCTACCTGTCTTCACCTCTCTTATGCTATGATTACAAACACACCTACCACGCCCTTTCTTTTCGCCTATAGTTTCCAAGGATTGAAGTCTAACCCATTACCTCTCCCCAGCCATCCGCCCTCACCTTTTAGATGAGATAAAAATGGCATAATGTGCCTGGACTGAGTCAACCAGGTCGACCCCGGTCCTCGGGGGAGACCTTGATCTGGAGGAGGTGGGAATGGGGGGTGGGCTGGGGGGAGGGGGGGCGAGAGGGGGAGAACAGGGGAATCTGTGGCTATTATGTTGAACTGAATGGTGTTGTAAAATAATAATAAAAAAAATGGCATAATGTTCTTTTGACTCTTTTAAACATTTATTTAGCCGGGCGGGGATGGCGTACGCCTTTAATCCCAGCCCTAGGGAGGCAAAAGCAGGTGGATCTCTGTGAGTTGAGGTCAGCCTGGTCTACAAAGCTAGTCCAGGACAGGCTCCAAAGCTACAGAGAAACTCTGTCTCCAAAAACAAACAAAAAAAAAAAAAAATTTATTGTTTCTTTGTTATATATACAGTGTTCTGCCTGTATGTATGCCTGCACACCAGAAGAGGGCACCAGATCTCATTATAGACAGTTGTAAGCTAGCACATGGTTGCTAGGAACTGAACTCAGGACCTCTGTAAGAGCAGCCAGTGCTCTTAACCGCTGAGCCATCTCTCCAGCCCCTCTCTTAACTTTTGATTTCTGGTGAGATGATTCCAAATGTCTTCCATTTATACAAACAACTCATTTTGATCAATACATATACCCATAGGAATTGAAGAAGTTAGGACATCGAGATGGCTCAGCAGATAAAGGTGCTTGCCACCCAGACTGATGACCTGAGCTTGATCCAAGGAACCCACAGAAGGAAAGAGCCAACTGCTACCAAGTTGTCCTCTGACCTTTACAAGTGCATCATAACCAGTGAAATTTTTTTCAAGAGAGGAAGTCATGATGTACAAAATTACTAGTCTCATCATAATCACACACACTTGAAGGCAAGTGCAAAAAAAATTTTAAATCCTGTCTTTTCATAATATATTTTCTGAGACTAGTAACCAAAATAAAATTCAATACTACCAAAAAAAATTCAGGATAAAAGTATCATTTATTTTATTTGATTTTTTATTGTTTTATCTTGACAATAAACTGTCTATCCTAAACTCAGTATTTATGGGTAACTTTCAGTTTTTTCAAAAGGTCTTTTTCATGAACCATCCTACTTTTTCAAGTTTACAATAGCCAGCTCGAAGGGCAATGGTGGTACACGCCTTTAATCCCAGCACTGGAGAGGCAGAGGCAGTTGGATCTGAGTTAGAGGCCAGCCTGGTCTACAGAGTGAGTTCTAGGACAGCCAGGGCTACACAGAGAAACCCTGTCTCGGAAAAACAAACAAACAAATAAATATATAAAGCCAGGTCATCTGACCTCACAGAGATCTTTACCTTATCTCTAGGATCTAACGATCTAGACCATATTATGTACAACAGAGACTAAAATGATCATTTACTGCACTTTAGTGCTTTGCTGAAGCTGACAATCAGCCAGCATGGCCAAGTGCTGAGTTTCATAAGGTGTTTTCTTCAACACGTGTTACCAGGTGACAGTATCAGTCAATTCAGCAGCTATAACAAGGATGGCTTATAACCACAGACTTTGTACTACGTATCACCTCTTAATAAACCCCTCTTTGAATTAAAAAGATGATGAATTTCTAACACCTAACAAAAGTTATTACTAACTCTAGGACAGTGCTCAAGTAGCAGCACAGCATATGAACATCCTCGAATTCCACATTCCCTAACAGCCCAATTCAGAACCATTTGGAGGACCTGGCATAACGGTACATACTTTTAATCCCACCACTCTCGAAGCAAAGGCATGTGGATCGATGTAGTATGAATCTTATAAGTTCTTATTAATAAAAACAAACCTGGAGCTGGGGTGAATGCTGGAAGATCAGAGAAGCAGAACAAGACACAGCTACCTCACCTCTCCAGTTCCTCAGCTGATCTTGTTTCCTCAGACTGAAAGCCGCTGAGTCCTCATCCGAATGGGTCTCAGCTGAACTGCTGCTCAAAAGCCTAAAAGCTTGCCTACCATACAAGACACCATAGACCTGCTCTCCAGCACCACATAAACAGAGCATGGTGGCACTTGTCTAAAACCCTAGCATCTGGAAGGTAGAGACAGGAGGACCGAATTTCAAGATCACTGTCAGTTAGACAGCAAGTCTCAGGCCATTCTGAGCTGTAAAAGCATGAGAACCTCAGTTCAAATCCCCAGAACCTAGACAAAAAGCTAGGGATGTACTTGTAAACCCCGCACTGTGGGGATGTGGAAAAAGTAAGTTTACTGGCACTTGCTGGCCCCCAGCCTAGCTCCAGGTTCAAGTGAGAGACCTTATCTCAAAGGACAAAGCAGAGAGTGACAGAACACAAGGCTGCACACCCTCCTTTGGCCTCCGTGACCTCCTATGGGCTTGCACACCTGCGCACAAACACCAAACAAGCATATATATATACACATCACACACCAAAAAGGGATTTTTGGCTCCAGATTCTGTAATGATTGCTATTTTAGCTTTTCTATTTTATCTTGAGGAAAACTTGACAATTACCTGTTATAACAACTTGTTTTGTTTTACAAAAAGGCCTCACTAGTTCAGGCTGACCTTGACAGTCAGGTCCTTCTACCACGGCTTCCCAGGTGCTCGAATTACTAGCATTTTCTACGACCAGCAGAATTTTTTTCTTTCTTTTTTTTTTTTTTCAAATGTACTGGTATGACACTATTTATAGTATCTACTATTTTTATATCAGCAGTCATGCCCCGTTTGATTTCTGATTTCCATTTTTTTTTTTTCTTTTCATTTTCTGTACAAATTTCTCAACCTTTTTATACTGACATTCTCTTCGGTTCTTTAACTTTCCTCCTTCACTAATTTCTAATATTCTGTATATCCTTTGATTTGTTTTCACTTTTTACTGTTTTTATTTTCCCTTTAGAGTATAATGTTAAATATTTATATCTGTTGGTTGCCTATGAGAACTAGATGTCAGGCTCCCACTGCTGAGACACTAAACGCTTTTTTATAGATTTATATAGAAATCAAGATGGGACTAAACTAGAAGCTTACTTCCTATTGGCTAGCTTTCAGAATACTGGAAGGTGCTCCGTAGACTGCTGGGAGAAAATTGTCACCAACAGTCTCACTCAGTTGCAGACTCTGGGTATAATATGACCAACCAGCCAAGCAAAATGTACCCATGGCTGGGAGGTCACAGCCCTAGTGGGGAAACTATTAATGTTGTTTGACTAAGTGGACATGACATGACTATCAAACTGCCTTCTAAATGTTTATGTTGATTCCTCTAGAATAGTGCTACTATTTGCTTCTTGTTGTAACAGGTAGTACTGCACAGACTCATAACTGGGCAAAGTACTGAGAGTAAGTTATTGCTGAATACAATGGTACATCTCTATCTCCCTTCCAAGGCCACTTGCAGAGGAGGGGATAGAAAGAATGTAAGCACCAGATGAAGTGGTGGAGTGCTGTGAAACACTGTTTTCAGGGCAGGAAATAGCTGCTGCACAAGACTAGACCCATCACCATCTGTCATGAAGGGCCTCTCCACCCCAAGGACTTATACAGTTAGTTAGTGGTTTCTGGAGGAGGAAAAGACTTTTTCTTTCGTGGTACAGCCACTAGTAAATGGTCCCTATTCCTGGAAGTAACCCTAATGAAACTTACTGAGTCACAAAAACAAAAATCGCATGAAATATTTACACCACCCTAAGTATTTTGTGATTTCTTTTTCAATCAGATTTTTCCCCATCTCTAGACATTTTATTATTAAAAAAAAAAAAATGTGACCAGAGTATTGGGTCTATAATAACATTAATTCTGTGAAACTTAATACTTTATGACCTTATTTTTAAAAGTTAAGATACAGAAGGAAAAGATAAATATATCACAATATTGAAATACAATATAATGTATCTAGAAATAATAATACTTTTTCCTATGCATTACTCAAAGCATTTATGTTCTAATTTGGATGTGGTTCATAACACTCTTGTAAGGCAGTCTTTTTTTTTCTTGTTACTGTTGTTTTGTTTGTTTTTCAAAACAGGGTTTCTCTGTGTAGCCCTGGCTGGCCTGGAACTCATAGATCAACCTCCCTCTACCTTATCCATATCTTTTTGGACCCCATCTCCCTCATTATCCTAATTTTACAGCTGAAAAACCAAAGGAGAATAAAGATAAGAAATCTTACTAAGTCATCCAGGCTACTAAATGCTGAGTTTCTGGCTACTGAATAGTTATTATTTCTTTGTATCTAGTCTTCTTTTGTTGCCATTTTTTTCTGTGTATGTGTGTGCCTGCATAAATTCGTGTACACTATGTACATGCTAGTGTCCACAGACAGCAAAAGACAGTGTCAGACAGACCCCCAGGAACTGGATTACAGATGACTATGAGCTGCCATGTGGGTGCTGGGAACTGACCCTGAGGTTCTCTGCAGGAGTAGTAAGCACTTTTATTTGATGAGCTATCTCCACAGCACTAATCTATTTTCCCCCTTAACCTATTTTAGGTTATACTTGTTTATATCAGTTTTCTTTTGATTAGACTTTACACGTATATTTTTATTTACCCCTTTATTCATTTTTTTTGTTTATTAAAACAAGGTCTCACTCGGTTGCTTAGGCTAACCTTCAATTCACAGCAATGTTCTTACTTCAGCCTCCTGAGTGTGAGTTACCAGACCTGGTTTATTTCTTTATGTTCAATCTTACCTTGTGTTTAGTTATATGTCTTATAAGAAACACACTGTCTTCTTTTACGTGTGTGTGTGTGTGTGTGTGTGTGTGTAGATGAGTGCTACAATGCGCATGTGGAGGTCAGAGGACCTGTGCACAGGTAAAAAGACAACTTGTGGCAGTCAGCTCTCCTTTTCACCATGTGGGTAGCAGAGATCAAACACAGATCATCAGGCTTTATCTACCATGCCATCTTGCTGACTCCATTTTCTTTTAGTACAGAATATCAAACCCAGGCCTTCATTCACACTAGACAAGTGTCAGCATTGTACTACTCAACTACACCTCTAATCTCTTTCTTTCATTACTAAAGACTTTTTCAATGGTGGAGCCCTTGCCTAGCATATGTCAATAAGGCCCTAAATTCAATCTCCAGCACTACAAACAGTCATAAAAATTGTAACACCTCACTAATGTTTCACTTCTGTTTTTGTTTGGTTTGGCTTTTTAAAAGTAGCATCCCATGTAACACAAACTGGCCTCAAACTCACTATGGAGCTGAAGATGACCCTGAACTTCATGTCCTCTTGCCACTACATCACAGAGGGTTCCAGACATCAGTCACCATGCCCATCTTATGCAGTGCTGAGGGCCAAAGTCTAGGCCTTGAGCATGCTGGAGAGGCATACACCAAGAAACCATATCCCAGCCATGCTGAGTATATGGTCAGTAGGAGGTACATCCTGTCTAAAAAAATCTCCTAGAGCCAGGATGAGGAAACAAAGTCAACTACAAACAGCTTCTTTTCCTAGGTAAGAAAACTAAGGCTAGGAATGTAGCTCAGCTGTCAAGAGTGCTCACCTAAAGCCCTGGATCTGATCCCCAGAGCCTCATAAAATAGGCATGGAATATACAAGTTCAAGGCCAGCCTGAGTTACATGAAACCCTGTCTTACAAAAATAAACCAATATGGATGACTTGTTAAAAGAAAAAAGAAAATTGAAGTTGAGTCTCACTTGAATAAAATGGATAACTGAACACAAGTCTTCATTCATGATTAGGCATCACCACTGGAGATTTAAATAACCAAAGGTCAAATTACCACACAGCAGGTTTGTTTTCAGAATTTTAAACAGAAGACTCCTGAGACAGTTGATGAAATGATTTCCCACCACTACTTCTCAAGGGATTCTAATTTTACTCCTGGCATTGGAGCAGATGGCTAACAGCATTTCACAACCTTTGAGGCCTCCAGCTCTTTAATCTTCTCTTCAGCTTCTGTCAGTTTATCTTTCAAAGCTGCAATTTCCTTCTCCATGGGCATCACGACAGAGCGAAGCTTTTCAGCATCTTCTTGGGCCTATGATTAAAAGGAATTAAATGCAACAACTTACTAGCTGAATATTTTTAAAAGAAACTCTAGTCCACCCATTTGCTAAAAATTATCATTCATAAAACTGAATACCAATTCTCATTTTATTCAAGTTTTTTCTTTGAACTTTTATTAACATATATTCATTACATTTACAAAATGATGGGCTTCAAAAATACGTCATTCCAGTTATCATGTACTTGAACATATTAACACCAATCAATCCTCTCATTTCATTCTTCTCACTCATTTGTCTTTTTTCTTTACCCAAACAGTTCCTCCTTGTCTTTTATGAAACACACACACACCCTAGATTCCATAGATGAGGCAGTGTGATATTTGTCTTTCTGAATATAGCTTATTTGTTTAATATGATATTTGGTCCTAGGTTCCTGCAAAAAACATATATGTGTTCTTCTTTAAGCAGAATAAAGCTTGTCAACTGTGTGGGCCAGGGACATAATTAAGCACTTAAGAGCATGTACTGCTCTTCCAGAGGACCCACGTTCAGTTCCTACCACCCACATTAGGTAGCTGATAACTGCCTCTAACTCCAGGCCCTAACTGCCTCTAACTCCAGTGTCAAGTCTATTTTTAAATAGTTTATTACAGGCTGGAGAGATAGCTCAGAGTTTAAGAGCACTGGCTGCTGCTCTTCCAGAGGTCCTGAGTTCAATTCCCAGCAACCACATGGTGGCTCACAACCATCTGTAATGAGACCTGGTGCCCTCTTCTGGCCTGCAGGCAGAACACTGTATACATAATAAGTCTCTAAAAAATAAAAAGTTTATTACTGTGAATGACAGGCATAATTATGGTTTTCCTAAATACTTCACTTAGAATTTGGCAGTAAGCAGAAAAATAGATTCACTGTAACATATCTGATATCTTCATTGAGCAACTCAGTCATAAAATATCTCATATATAAAAGGCAGCATCAAGAGCTGGGTGTGGTGGTGTACCCTCAGGAGGCAGAGGTAAGAGGATCCCCTCAAGTGTAGCCTACTCAGGTCTACATATCAGATCCAACCCAGCCAGAGCTACAGAGTGATTCTGACTCAAAAGAGCAAAAACAAACACCTTTAGTCCCAGAACTCAGGAGGCAGAAGCAGGTAGAGCTTTGTGAGTTTGAAGCCAGCCTGGTCATCATAGCAAATTCTAGGCTGTCTAGATTGTGGGGACAAAATAAATAAGTAAACAAAAAGTATTAAAAACTCAGAAAGTTGGGGCTCTTCCTACTAATGAAAATTAACTTTACCTAATGTAAACAAGCTCAAATGCATCCTAAATTGTCCAGAATAGAGAAACAAGCTATACTGACTAGTGTGAAGAATATTACACCTCCTCATAGACACAGATACACAAAAGAAATTTAACAGGCCTTCAGATTCACTTTGTTTCCTGATCCTTACAAAATCTATTTTGTGCTGAACTAAATTCTGTTTGGAAAAGACACGTTAGCTTAAAACATCTTCACAGTCAAGGCTTGTTTGGGATGCTTACTGCAAAAAGGGAAGGAAGAAAAGAATTTACCATATTTACTAATGCAAAAGACCTCATAATTTCCAGTGCTAGGTATCATATAAACAAACGTTTAAAGAGTCAATTAAAAGTAGTAGTAAGTGTAACCAGTGAGATGGCCCAGTGGGTAAAAGCACTAGCTGTGCATGCCTGTTGATTGGAGTTCAAACTCCAGAATCCACAGTGGAAAGAGAGAACTGACTCCCTAAAGTTGCTCTCTGACCTCCACATACACATATGGACACATGCACCACATTATGCACAAATACAATAATAATAAAAAGAGATAGAAAGGTCATTAAAATAAAAATTGAAAAGCTGTTACAGCCAAGCCAAGCCTACAACTGCATGACTGCATGACTAAATGCAGTGTGGTTTCTTGGATGGAAGTCTCAAACAGGAAGGAGAAAAGGATATGGGGGACACTGGCTGAAAATCAATACAATCTAAATACAGAGAACAAACCATTGTTAATAATGATGAGCTGGTATTAGTTTGTTAACTCTAACAAGTATAACATACTACATGGTTAAAATGTTAAAGAAAACTGAGCCAGGTGGTGGTGGTGCACACCTTTGATCCCAACACTGGAGAGGCAGAGGCAGGCAGATCTCTGTGAGTTTGAGGCCAGCCCGGGCTACAGAGTGAGTTCCAGGAAAGGCTCCAAAGCTACACAGAGAAACCCTGTTTCAAAAGAACCAAAAAAGTTCAGAAAACTGAGTATGGAGTATACTGAAAAACAATACAATATTCATAAATTTTTTTATACCTAAAAAAAAATTCTTAAAAAGTAATAGGTGGGCTGGGTGGTGGGAGGTGCACACCTTTAATCCTAGCACTCAGGAGGCAGAGGCAGGCGGATCTCTGTGAGTTTGAGGCTAGCCTGGTCTATAGAGCTAGCTCCAAGACAACCAGGGCAGTTACAGAAAAACCCTGTCTTTAAAAAACCAAAAACAAACAAACAAACAAACAAACAAACCTAGTTGGGGCTGGAGAGATGGCTCATGTATTGTTCTTGTAGATGATCCAAATTTGTTTGATTCCCAATACCCATGTCAGGCAGCTCATACCACCTGTAACCCTAGTCTAGCTCCAGGGGATCTGGTACCTCAGGCTTCTAAGGGCACCTGAATTCATAATCATGAACCCTACAGAGTCACATATACGAACAATAAAATTAAATAATAAATAAATAAAACTCATGGAGGGCCTAGGAGATGACTCAGTCGGTACAGTGCTCACTGCACAAGCATGAGGGCCTTGCCTTGGTCTGGAACCATGCAGAAAGCCAAGTGCAGCCGCATGCACCTGTAATGCCAGCACTGGGAAGTGGGGAATCCTAGGAGTCCACTGGCCAGTCAGTCTAGCCTAATTTGTGAGCTCCAGGTTCAGTGAAAGACCTTGTCTCAAAAAGTAACCAATGTCATGGCACATCTCAGCATTTGGGAGGTAGATCTCTGTGAGTTTCAAAGCCAGCCTTATCTACATAGAGAGTTCCAGGGATATAGACCAGGCAGGGATGTAGAGACCCTGTCTCAAAAAAAGAAAGAAAAATAAAATAAAGTAGATGAAGGAGAGGGGTGGGAACTAGGAGTTGGAAATAAATATGACCAAGATATACTGGTCACATGTATGAAATTGTCAAATCCTAAATAAAATATAACTCTTTAAAAATTAAAAAAAAAAAAAAAAAAAAAAACACAAAGTTGGGCGGTGGTGGCGCACACCTTTAATCCCAGCACTTGGGAGGCAGAGCCAAGCGGATCTCTGTGAGTTTGAGGCCAGCCTGGTCCATAGAGCAAGATCCAGGACAGGCACCAAGACTACACAGAGAAACTCTGTCTCGAAAAACCAAAAAAAAGAAGAAGATTCAAAAAAATGTAGAGGTAGAACAATAGAGAAAGTCACCTGACATGCACCTCTAGCATCACATGTAGGCACAAACACACACACACACACACACACACACACACACACACACACACACACACAATAAAATTTAGTTTTAAAACTAAAACTTTAAAGATGGCAAAGAATAGTGATTGTGGAAATGATTAAATACACACACATTTATTTATATAAAGAATGGAGCAAGGATTTATATAAAGAATAGAACAAGGATTAGTAGCCAAAGATGTTCTCAAGGAGGGTCAGTGAGCTGGCTCAACATAGGCTCCTGCCCTTGAGCCTGATGACTTGAGTCAGTATCTATATGGTGAAAGAAGATAATCAACTTCCAAAAGTTCTCCTCTGACCTCTACACACTTACTGTTGCACACATGTGCACACACATTCACACACAAAATAAATAAATAAATGAAAAATTTTTCAATGTTCTCAATGAGAACACATTTCTCTCATTTAGTTGCCTGTGTTAAGGCATTGTATGGTATAGTTCAGGCATAATACGTATAACATTGGCAAGTATTCTAGAATGTTTATACACAGTATCAAGTAACATCTCCATCCAACATGAACTCACTGGGCTTCTATATGCTAGACACCATCCTATGTACTTAGTATACTACATTCTCATGGAGTTAACACTCGAGCAAATGAACAGAAAAAGCAGCAAGCAAACACAGTAAAAGCTGACCTCTGTTTTATGAGGAAATATGCTGTACAAAAGAAACCCTAAAGCAGGGCACAAAAATCGGAGAGTCCTGGAAACTTGGGAAGAGGCAGGTAGGCTGCAATCTTAACTAGAGCAGTAAGAAAAGCCTCATGAAGAAATGACAGCTCATCAAAGATCTGAAGATGGAAAGGCAGTCAGTCACATGTACTGTGGAGGGTAGGGGGAAAGCACTGTCTGGTCCATAAGTAACTCCCCAACAGAAAGAAAGCACAACATTCAACTTCCAGTTCTGCACCAACGCTTTTAAACAAATTGCTTTTAGTCAAGTAATTCTGTAAGTGAATGTATTCTTGCATACCTTTTTCATTTCATTTTCTAAATTTTCTTCCTCTTGACCTTCAGACAACCTTCTTCTTAAATCAGCTATTTCCCGCTCTGCAGATTCTCGATACTGTGCCCACTGTGCTCGCTCCTGCTCCAGCCTCAGATGAAACTGATGCTCATAGTCACGAACCGTCTCTATAAAACATCACATAGTCCATGTCTAAGCATCATGGAACAATAGCTAGTACACTGAAATTTCTTCAGTTATGTAAAGAGCTTGAGACAAATTTTTGGAAATAATTTTGGAAAAAAATTCTAGTTCTTTTTTTTTTTTTTTTTTTTTTTTTTTTTTTTTTTTCATGGTAGCCGGAGGGATAGCCGTGGGTGCTGGGAACCGAACTCTTATATTTTTGGTTGTGAGCCTAGCCTTTAACAGCTGAGCTATCCCTCCAGCCCAAAAATTCTAGTTCTTATGAGTTGAAATAAAGGTTTTACTACTTCATCATCATCATCATCATCATCATTCTTCATAATAGACCTGCCATATGCTATTTGACAAGAAACCCTAGAGAAGGTTCAAAGTGGGGCTTCCAACTTACATCTAAGACCCACTCCCAAATCCATATTCTTTGATACTATAATGTGGCTCTCAAAACAAATACAACATTTCATTATAACTACATGAATGTGTAAGGAAATAAAAATTATTTCTGAGATATTTTACTAAAACCTAAGATTCTAAATTGAGAAAAATTCTGTAGCCTTACAAAATAACTTCATGTTTAATACAGTCTTGAAACATCACCTGACAGGCACAACTGGTGGTCCTTTAAATTCTACTCCTTTTTTTTTTAAAGTATTTATTTATTTTTATTTTATATATATGTTTGAATGTCACCTGCATTTATATACTGCACTATGTGCCTACCTGTTGCCTACAGAGATCAGGAGAGGGTGTCAGAACCCTGGAACTGCAGTTATAGATGGTTTTGAGCTACCCTAGGGATGCTAGGAAATGAACCCAGATCCTCTACAAAAGTAACAAGTACTCTTAACCACTGAGCCATCTCTCCAGCCCCAATTTCTATACCTTCTTCATTACTAACAAGACCAAACTTTGTTGAGGATTTTACAGTGCTCAATATAAATACTCCACTTTCTGGCTGAGTAAATACCTTAGTGGAATAACTTGCCTCACATGTGAATGTCTCTAGATTTGATTCTCCACAGCACAAAACTAACACCCCAACTTAAAACTACATGTTTCGATTTCTTTTAGTTAAAGGTGACCACATACAGCATGAAGATTTCTAGAAAAAAATAATTTCTAATGTATATTGGAGGATGTGTAACCATTTCTCAACAATGAAGCAAAGATAAAATTTTTTTATAATTTATTTCATTATATTTTACATGCATTGGTGTGAGGGTGTCAGATTCCCTTCCCTGGAACTAAGTTACAGACAAGTATGAGCTGCCATGGTGTTGCTGGGAACTGAACCCAGGTCCTCTGGAAGGGCAGCCAGTGCTCTTAACCACTGAGCCATCTCTCCAGCCCCTACAAAAGTGAAATTTTTAAAGATCATGGTAACTATATAGAAGCAGACAGCCAGAAAAGTCCAGATATAGGCGGGACCACAGAACTGTTATGACCACTCCTAGCTTACCTAGAGATGGATTTTATTCCTATGAGAAAGAGGAACTCCTGTATAGGTAAACCAACATAGTCAGACTATTACATGAGACCAGAGTATCACTTAGTAAGAGCTACAGAGTCAGAAACAAAGGTACCCTTAATTGCATCCTTTCAAAGAATATTCTGTAAAAAATGGGACACAAATGCAAAGACCCCCTGGCACAGGGCAGTTGCCATTAGTTCACATTTGTAAATATTAACTAATCCCAGGATCTCAAAGATTAAGGTAACACCTTATTTCATTCTGTCATCATTCTCCAGAATGAAGGCAGTACTGAGGCATTCATGCTGAAAGGAAAGAGGCTATACACACCATTAAATTCCTTCAGACCAAGGGTCACAAACTGGCATTCCATAAAGCCCCATTTAGCCATACGGACACTCTTGCCCATCAAACAAATATTTCACATACAAGAATACACTATACTTAAAAAATCTATAAAAATAAAAATCCAGGTTTAAACCCTGCTTTAAATCTTACAAGTAACTACAACCTTCATTTAATACATTATCTCTCTAATTAATTATCTCTCTTTATTATTGATCTGTCGAAGACACTGGTGATGCGCCCATTACAACACCCCTGACTTCCCTTTCATCTGACGTCTGGAAGATGACAGTCCATAAAGCCACAAATGAACACAAAATGCATTTTAAGGCCATCTGAAAATGGTGTCAAGAATCAGAATTTGATCTTATAATTTCGTCTAAAATCTGATCTTTTCTTTACCTTTCATTACAGCCTGAAGTGAAGCAACTTCTTCTCTCCACTGCCTTTTAACTTCATCTATAGCTTCTTGCTTAGTATTCTCAGAGACTGTGGCAATTGCCTTAATGTTCTCCATCTCTGCCTGAGCCTCCCACAGCTGTGTCCGAAGGTGACCCAAATCATCCTGTGCCGCTTGCAATACTGCATTTTGCCTCTTCAGATCCTCTGGGGAAAAAGTAAAAGATTTTCCATTAATGTGTAGTTCACTTTATCAGACTCAAAAGAAATGAAGAAACTGGATATTAAAATGCTAACATAGAATATAAAGCTATTTAAATAGAAATATAAAGTGTGCTGGATTTCAAACAATAAAGTTTTACAAGGCGAGTTCCAGGACAGCCAGAGCTGTTACAGAGAAACCATGTCTCAAAAAACAAAAAAATAAAACATTAAAACTATCTAATAACACACCGGGAAAGGTCACAGTTTTGATGCTATATTTAGGCTTTTCCTATTCACTAAATAGACATAATCAAAACTTTTTTTCATTTATTTTTATGTGTGTGAGTGTTTTAACTACACATATATCTGTGCATCACATGTGTGCCTGGTGCCCTGGGATGTCAGGAGAATTCACCTGATTCCCAGGACTGCAGTTGACAGTTGTGAATTGACAAGCAGGTGTTGGGAACTGAACACAGGACCTCTGGAACAGTCAGGGCTCTTAAGCACTGAGCCATCTCTCCAGCCCCAATAAATTCTCTAACTACTCTGGTGTAAGTGTCCAAATCTACAAAATGGAGATTAAAGATGGTCACTCCATAGGGCTGTTAAAATGATAAAATGATGCATTATAAACGCCTGTAAGCATAGTAACTTTCAAAGAGGAAGCCTTCAATACATACTTAATGGAAGAAAGCCAGACTGCACAGTAATTAGAGTTGATAAAACCATGATTACTTTCTCACTCTTAATAATCTCTTAAATATTAAGTTGATATCACATGTACACCACATGCCTTAAGCTAGATAGAACATATATTTGATCATGACTCCCAAAAAAGATGGCAGTGGAGTCAGAAATGCAGTTTAGTGGTACAGCACTCACCTGGCATGTACAAGGCCCTGGGTTTTGGTCCCTACCACTGCAGAGAAAACAAGGATACGCCTATTATCCCTCTATAGAGATGCGTCTACTTTCTCTTACTGCGAACTCTCACTATACTCTCCACTAAAACAAAACAAAAAACCTCGTGACTATCATGAACACAAGTGGTCAACTTTTAAATCTATACTTTCTTATTTATAAGGAGTTTGAGTATGTACTCTACATTGATCAGTGACCAGAACTTTCTTAGGTTTCCCTCCCTCACAGACTCTCTCACTATAACATAAAATGGCTACAAACTCTCAATCCTTCTGCCTCAGCCTCCTTAGTAACAGGATTTCAGGTGCCCATCACCATATTCTGCTTATCTGTTTCTAATGCAGAGTTTTCCTTCTGATTTAGGAAAAGCATTGTGATGGTTAATCTTCACTATCGACTAGATAACAAGTCACCCAGGAGGAAAACCTATGGTCATGTTCAACTGAACTGAACTGAACTGAGAGGTTTAACTGAACAAAGAAGGGTCCACCTGAGCGTGGGTTAACACACCCTATGGGGTAATGTCCTGGACTAAATAAAAAAATATGTAAGTCAAGCATCAGCTAAAGCATCAGTAAAAAGCTGCCTCAAGTGTTCTCCATGGCCAGCGGAAACTTGTAACAATGAAGATAATAAAGTACAGTTAACTGAAGTAATTAATTTTAACATAGCAAGTTTTTTTTTTTGTTTTGTTTTGTTTTTGTGGTTTTTCATTCACCAGGCTCTGTTTTTCTGACTGCAGATCCAATGTGACCATGCCTTCCCTGACATAAGTCTACTGTATCTCCTCCAACCACGCCAGGGATTTTGTCATAACAACAAGAAAACTAATACACAAAAGTACCAGAAGTGGATGAGCTGCTGTGAGAAACCTGACCACATGGTTCATAGGTTTGAAACTGGCTCATAGCAGGAATATGGAAGAACTTTGGAGTTACAGAATAGAGAAGACTCAGAATGCTGTAAACAAAGTTAAATGGTTCATTCTGGTGGGAGTGCAGAGAACCAGAATCCAACAGAAAGGTATACAGTAAAGACCGTATTCATGAGGCTTGAAGTAGTCAGGCTTGGGTTAAAAACCATTTTTAAGATGATAATGTTGATGGTCGAGCAGTGGTGGAGCACACCTTTAATCCCAGCACTCAGGCAGGCGGATCTCTGTGAGTTCAAGGCCAGCCTGGTCTACAGAGCGAGATCCAGGACAGGCACCAAAGCTACACAGAGAACCCTGTCTCAAAAGAGGGGGGGAGGGGGTAATGTTGAATCCAGCCACTATTAGGCCACATCCCTATAGCAGCCTTTTCTCTCTCACAGACACTAAAAGGTACCCTTTCTGAGACACTGAATCCCTAGCTAGAGCCAGGACCTCTCAACTGGGAAACTAATTTTGCATCAAAGCAGGTATTGGTGGTCACACATCCTGCTCCCTACACACTTCACTGACTCCTGGGAAAAAGAATAAAAATGAAAATAAGGCTGTGGGCTAGTTCTGTAAACACCTCAATTCCCCACATACTCAGACAGGTACAAGGAGAGACTCCCACTTCTGTCACAGGTACACACTACAAATCCTCTCTTCAAAGACCCTGCAATGGTGTCTGTCTCTGGTGCTAGGGCCTCAACTCTCCTTGGAGACCCCACTATGTGTTAATAACTTTTCTAATTAAATCTTTACTCTTCGGTAATCCATCTTAGTGTTCCTTTTGACATTCCCCCAGAAAACTTCCTGATACTCATATTATGTCCTAGTAAAAATCCTAACCCTAATATCTTCAAACCTCTTCCACCAGAAGCATTCCCCTGTTTTGGGGTCATTTTATATAGTTTCTGTATGAAAAAGTACACAACATTTTTTTTTCTTCCCTCACTTATCTCTTAAACCCCTTCCACCATTGATTCTTAAACTTCTTCCTTCTCCCTCAAGGTCTTCTACTGCCAAGTCATATATATCACATAAACACACATACCCCACATGAGAGACAAGCTGATGTTTTTCTGAGCAAGGATGTTTTATAGGTGCCCTTTATCAAGCTGGAAAGATTCCTTCTGTTTCTAGTTTAGTGTTTTTAATCATGAACAGGTGTGCAGTTTTACATATTACTTCTCCTTTATCGACTGAGAAGTTTGTGTGCTTTGGTTTTTATCTTATTTTTTGAGACTGGTCTCTCTACTACTGTGGTTTGAATAGGTATGACCCCCTTAGACTCATGTGTTTAAATGCCTGGCCCATAGGAGATGTGGCCTTGTTGGAGGAAGTGTGGCCTTGTTGGAGGAAGTATGTCACTGTCGGGGCATGCTTTGAGGTATTCAAGCTGCCCAGTGTGGCAGTATCCTGCTGCCAGCAGATCAAGACGTAGAACTCTCAGCTCCTTCTCCAGTACCATGTCTGCCTGCAATCTGCCATGTCCTGCCATGATGCTAATGGACTGAACCTCTGAAACTGTCAGCGAGCGCCAATTAAATGTTTTCCTTTATAAGAGTTGTGGTCATGGTGTCTCTTCACAGCAATAGGAACCCTAACTAAGACAACTGTGTAAGCTCTGGCTGTCCTGGAACTCTCTCTGTATAGAACAGGCTGGCCTCAAAATCACAGAGACCCAATTCCCTGTGCCTTCAGAGTGCTGTTGATTAAAGGTAGGCACCACTATGCCCAGCCTGGTTTCTATCCTATTGACTGTAATGTATATTATAATGATTGCAATTCTGGGACGAGGTCCAATTAGTTACAATCTTATTCTCTCACACTGTTTGATTTTCAAGCTTAAGGAGGATTTAGACATCTGTATTTCTTTTTTGTTTGTTTTTCGAGACAGGGTTTCTCTGTGTAGTTTTGCGCCTTTCCTGGAATTCACTCTGTAGCCCAGGCTGGCCTCGAACTCACAGAGATCTGCCTGGCTCTGCCTCCCAAGTGCTGGGATTAAAAGCGTGTGCCACCACCGCCCGGGCTATATCTGTATTTCTAAGGAATGCATGCATAAAGTTCTTGTGATGTCTTGTTACATCTTTTCTAGGTTTTGTCTGGATAATACTATTTATAGAGTGTCCCTTGCAGTTTATTTTTTTACAAAAATTTGGAATACTGGTACTAATTCTTCCTTCATATTGAATAATACGAATTATAATCAATATTCAATAACATACATTTTAATATGTTAAATAATAATGGTGAACAATTCTTTAAGCAAACATAGTTTTTCAAAAGAGGAAAAATTCCCTTTCCTTCATTTTTTAATTTTGTAACTAATTTTTTTAAATTTTATTTTGTTGCACTGTCTATGAGGACCTCTGGCAAAATAATAAAGTACTAACAACAGAATACAGAAGTTCCTCAAAAAACTAAAAGTAGAACTATTATGTGTTCCAGCTATACCAGGTTTCCTGCTTGAGGCTCCCAAATGCTTGGCTTGGATTTTGTTTAATTTTCTCCATGTTTTTATTAACAAATATTAATTGTACATGAATTATGCATAATGAATTTCACATTTTCATACATGTATATAATTTTGACCATATCCCCTCCCACTCCTGATGACCTTCCTCTTCCCAATCATTTCCCTTTATACTTTTGTCTTTATTTCTTTCTTTGTTTTTTGTGAGCCAATAACTTTAATTAAATTTGTCTGTTTATTAGTTTCCTCCAGAAAATTTTTTAGTATTATTTTTATTTTATATATATGAGCATTTTGCCTACATGCACATATATGCAACAGGTACATGCTAGCAGAGGCAGAAGATGGCATATATTTGCTGGAACTAGAGTTAAAGACAGTTGTGAGCAGCAATGTGGGAGCTTAGAACCCAATCTGGGTCCTCTGCAAGAACAGCAAGTGCTCTCCTCAGCCCAAAAAACTTTTTTTTTTTTAAACTTTTCTGTAAGTGAATTAGAATAGGTTTTTGGTGTTTTTTAGTAGTCAAATTTATCAGTTTCTCACCTTTGTATAATTTCTTATGTCCCAAACATTCCCTGTTTAGTTTTCTTCTGGCAAACCTAGGTCCTACCATTTACTTCAGTGACTGTGCAGGTGATAAATGCTCTTAGGATTTATGTGCATCAAAGATGAACTTTATCCTCCACTTCAAGAACTCAGCTAAATATTAAAATTCTAGGTTGACAGGCATTTTTATGTACTGTGATGATGTTATTCCATTGTCCTCTGTCACTTGAAGGACTAATGTGGTATTTCCTGGGTTCATTTGCTATTGATGTAGCTGTTGTTCAGACAGGCTCTTGCTATCTATCTCCAGGCTGGTCTCAGATAACGCCACCTCCCAAATGCTGGATTCACATGCACATGCCACCATGCTTGGCTTATTCTCTACTTCAGTATTTTTTGTCTGCAAGTTCTCTAATTAGTTTTTATTTATCTTTATTTCTTCATAGTGTTTTGGGGTTTTGGTATTTTTGTTTTGTTTGTTTTTTGAGACAGGGTTTCTCTGTGTAGCTTTGGTGCCTGTCCTGGATCTCGCTCTGTAGACCAGGCTGGCCTGGAACTCACAGAGATTTTCATGGCTCTGCCTCCTGAGTGCTGGGATTAAAGGTGTGCGCCACCACTGCCCAGCTATTTATTCATAGTTTTAATTGTAATTTTTAAAATATTCCTTGTTTCATATCCCTATCTAAATGAACATATGTCACCAGAGCACCAGGCAAATTATAGCCATGTGTAAAGTCCTTTTGGACACAACTGGAAAACTCAACCTCCATTTCTATCATTTTCTTCCAGTCTGTCGTCTGGAGCATCAGAGAACAGGGCCTCACTAACAATCTGGACTGAGATTTCTAAAGCATAAGCACTGCTGTAGTGCTAAGCACTGATTGAAGCTGGTTAAAGGAAGAAGGTGCAATAAGATTGTCTTTTTAAAGTTTAATAGAAAATCAACAAAACTTTCTGAAATTTTATAATATTCCCAACTGAAGTCAGTTTGAAAAAAATGCACACTAAGACAAAAGCAGGCAGTAAAAAGAGGTCAAAAAGTAGCCTAATCATCTCTTTTATTGGTAGTCCTCATTACTGTTTGCATTTACAACTCAGTGATATTCCAAATAAATGCAAGTCCAGCAGTTATAGTAGCAACAGAATTGTCCCTTCCAGGGGAAAAGCAGTGTTTGGACTTCTGAATCACCTTGACCTATTTTGCCAAAAGACAAAGACTGCTGAGCACATCAATACTACATTGCACACTGTTTATGCCTGTGACCATCATAAAGACTGGCCTCCACCTTCATAGCAGGTACAATAATAACCTGCTAGTTGAAAAGAAAGGGTTGTTTTTGTTTGTTTGTTTTTTTGTTTTTGTTTTTATGAGACCACTTGGCCAAGACGTTTGAGGTCATCCCTTCATTTTTATCCATTTATTTAATGGGTTTTTTGTTTTTGGTTTTTTGTTTTTGTTTTTGTTTTTTTTTTGTTTTTTTTTTTTGGCCATTCAGTTCTTTTTTTTTTTTTTTTAAATTGGCCATTCAGTTCTTTATTAGACCATCCCGTGTTTTAGACAGACACAGTATCACAACTTCACCGAGTTAAACAAATGCAACGTAAACAAAAGTAACACACCTTAAGATAATATTCTACAACAGAGGAAGAACAAAAGAAAAAAATCCTGCATTGTTACAAGGTTTTACACAATATTGAATGCTTTCTTTCTTTCTTTTTTTTTTTTTTTTTTTAGAGCCGAATGCTGTTTATTGAAGGAGGACGGAGTTCTTAAATATAGGCTTATAGCACAATGGGAGAACACGGGAGGGCAGATGTTCGAGATGTTTTACAATCTTGCATCTAAGCTGTTATCGCCCTTTATGCAGGATACACAGACAAGGAACTTCCCTTAAGTATTCAGGAGGGTGGAACCCGGCAGGGAATTAGCATAGGGAGGATATCAAGGTCACGGTCAGCTAGCAAGGCAACAGTTACCCAAAACGGGGGGCGGGGAGGGGGGGCAGGGCCCTACAGGTCCCCCTTTTACTAAAAATGAGCTTCTGACTTAGGTTGCGTGGGACATCAGCAGGTCACCTTACCCGTCATGGAGACACCTGCCCAGACCACACAGGCGCTCTGTCTTAGGTTGGTGAGCGCCCCCCAGGTATTACCCGTCTCTGAATACTCATTATCATAAAGGCTCAATCTTGTGTGAGCTGCAGAGTTAACTGCTGCCAAAGATCTGAAAGTGGCGCTGGGCTTGCAATCTGTTTGTTCGACATAGAAAAGATCAACAGAAGTCCTAACCTACCCATAGCCAGTAGGCTAAAGGCAACTGAGCCATTCCCTTCCTTAACGAGCTACTGGTGAAATTATTAAGGCCACTCCACATAGTTAAAAGGGAGGTTTATTTTGTGGGGTAACTTACAAGTGAATGGATAGTTCACAGAGTCTGGGAAAGGCGTGGCGCAGTCTGGCAGTGTTCTCTGGAGGACTCTGCTTGGTCTACCTCCAGCGTCCAGGGTCCAGGAACTAAGAGAGCCTGCCCATCTGGAACCCGGGTCTTTAGCATCCTCTCTCAGCCCAACCTTGTAGGCGTGATCATTACTGAAGCCTCAATGGGGATTAGAGCTTCCAGGTCAAAGCTAGAATGGCTACCCACTACATCTCCCCCTTTTGTCTAAATAAGAAGGTTCTAACCTAATACAAGACTATATACAAAGGAATGGTTATCAAATATTGTCCAGGAGTAATGAAGGACAATGACCTAGATAAGATGGAACTACAATCAATGTAAACAATATCAAGCAAGAAACACATACTAAAATCTAGGGAAGTCTAGAGCGTGGGTAAATGGCATGTTACAAAGATCATTCCAAAAGGTGTCCTATCCTAAAGAACCTGAATCTAATACTTAATATATTCTATCTAAGATATTACATATATACTAAGGTGTAACTATAACTGCTAGTCTTCAATCTCATCAAAGACCTGAGAAGGAATATAATGGTATCTGAGAAATGGAAGATGGATGCAAGCAACTTTCGTGAATCTTGCAAGAGTAGACAGAGACAGCTGGCAGCCTGGACAGTCACAGAATGTTTCTCAGCATAGTTGGTACATTCAAATTGGCTACAGGCCTAGAGTATCTGACAGACCATGAAGGCTTACAGAAAAAGATTCTTTCTCTGAAATCTGCTAACCAGGATTTACATAAAAATATTCTTTCTCTGGAATCTGCTAACCAAAATTTACAAAACAGGTTTGTACTTGATTTTATTGATAATAAATATGAATATTTAATGGATAGAACACTAACTCTCCAGAGTGAAGTTGTAGCTACTCAGATACTATATAAGGAAGAAAGATTATCATTAATTGATAAGATAAGGTCCATGGAATCATGTGTTTCAAAAGAACATAAAAACTTCCATGATTCCATGAGAAATCTGGAATCCCTTGCAAGAGAGGAGGTTTACTCCCTAGAACAGACCCTAGGTGCTTGTTTGCAAGCCCTGGAGGAAACTCTCAATAAACATGACAAGGGACCTAATAAGCAAAAGGGCAAGACCATACATCTCCAAATGGCTCTTATACAATGGCTTATCCTGTTATCACCCATGAGAAGCCAGCAGATGACACATACCCCAGCCATATATGACATATACATTACACCAACCATTGGATCACAGGACCCTCATCCCAGCTCCTGACTCAGCAAATGTGGGATACGACCCAAATATGTGTACTCCTAAGAAGGTTCCCAGGTAAGCCTGATACTGATGTAGTTGTTCCACAATAACACCATGGACACCATATTTATACTGCTTCTAGGCCAATAGCTAGAATGTAAACACCTTCCCTGACCCTCCTAAATTATATCCCCCACAAGATTTACTTTACTTAAACACTCATTTAACAACTGATAACACAAAGACTCTATATCTGTTTACCTCACCTTCAGTTCAATCAACCTAAAGGATCACATGAGTTTTGCTACCATTGTATGCCCAGCACCTACATACAATGTATTTCACAAAGTAGGTACTTAACAGTATGTATTGAGAAAATAATTGAACACTTGTTCTGTAAATTCCATGAAATGTCAGTTTCTACACAACATACCCAGGGACTGTATCTCAAGTGTTAAGAGCAGCCAACTACAACTAAATATCATTAATGTCAGAAAACAAACAAACCTTAATGATGCATTTTCCACTTGCTCCCCAACTCTACTGAAAACCCTAGTTCCAAAAGGCATTATTTTTATATCACACGCACACACACTCTCTCTCATGGTTCATTCAATCACAAACAAACACTGTAACATCAGAAACTTAACATTTAAAAGTTTTGGCAGGGAAGTTGGGAAAGAGACCAGCGAACTTACCCTCTTTAGCCAAATATAGCTCCTTAAATTTTGCTCTCTTTTGATTAAATTCTTGCTCAAGCTGCTGCTGTGCACGTAAAAATTCTGCATTAATTTTTTCCAATTCTGCTACCCGTTGCTGAAGAGAAACTGGAAAAAGAAATACTAGTTAACAAGTAATAAATGTGTTTACATATAAGTTTTAAGAATAAACTAGTCATCCAGTTACATACTACTATATATACATGGAACTAGTAGGGAGGCTGAAATCCATTATATTCTAGGAAGTTACAATTTTTTTAAGAAGCCAGACACTTCTATTAGACTTTATACACATACTATGAACAAGTCATATACAATGAAACAGAGATCACAGAGAACAAAGTCAATTTCAATACAAGAGCTCTTAACTCTCTTTAGTACACTGACAGAATGTTAATCCACAGTTGGAATTGTTAAATAGTGACTCAGTTAAACTACTTATCCCACAGCTAATGCTACTGTCAATGTTGCTACTTCCTGTTTCTTTGTTATGAGTAAAATCTAATGGGCTCCCTGGCTAGGACAGTCATAACAACTGGAACTATTCTTCCAGTTCCAGAAGACCCATTACATTATATGGAAATTGTTACCGTATGGAAAAGACACAAACCTGTGGATCTGTGTCACAGCTCCAATACTGGCAGATCATCTGTTTTCAGACAAGTGTTACCCATAGTCTTAGGAGCTTAGGGGCTCAAGACTTGGTGCTCAGACTGTCTATTCTGGTCAAGGCCAGGGCTGTTTTGGTTAAAACACAAACCTTTGACTCAGCCTTAAGGCTATCAATATAATCCCTTCAGGAGATATTTATCAGCACTATCTAACCACTATCCAGTTACCTCGGCCAGCAGAGGTCCCCTTTCTCTACTATACATCACTGGAAACAATGGCAATCTGCCCACATTATAACCAAGATCCAGGATTATCTTTGAAGGCCACTCCTTACCCTCAAGCTACTGCTCAATTCACAACTGATTTTATAACACTTAGAAAATTATAGCAATGGTTAGAACTATAGCTCATTTCCTCCATCTTCTTTTCAAAGTTCTCTGCAATAAGGATACATGTCTCTAACAAATACTAAACTAAGCCTTGTATTAGTTCGTCCCCATATCCCTAGGCTAGCTTCCTATTTGACAGTATTAGTACAACTCACAGCTGGAAGAGGAAGACTGCTGCTTTGAGCTCCATGTCACTAAAGGCAAAGTGTCATTTTGAGATACATCTACAGATAGACAATGACACCTGACAATTTGAAAGCTTTTTTTTTTCTTTTTTTTGGGGGGCGGGGGAGAGAAAGGAGGGAGAATATATCAGAATGCACCATGTAAAATACATGAAGAATAACACTGGAAGAGGGATTACCATCTTAAATCATAAGGAAATTTAGTCCTTGAGGCCCTTATTTCTGCTATTACTTATTGTTAAATCCCAATGGTTAAATTAATAATTTTCCCACATAACACTAAAATTACTGACACTACTGACTACCACAAAAATAAACAAGATCACTGAAAATGAAGGAAACAACCATTCCACAATGGACATGCACTTCAAAATACTAACATATTTTTAAAAAATACCATGTAATGTAGCAATTTAAAATAAATGGAGAGAAAGAAGACCCTTTGTTCATACTTTTCCCTACATCCTATCCCATCACATCTTCCACCAAACCATACACATGCACAAAGACTCATGCCATTCATCATTATATTTATATTTAAGTTAAGACTAATGAATCAACAAAAACAAAAATGCAACCCTTAAAATTACAACTAAAGCCTGGCATGGTGGTTTGTACCTGTAAGCCCAACACCTGGGACTCTGAAGCAGGAGGATTACCATGAGTTTGAAGCTAGCCTGGACTACAGACTGAGACACTCACATAAACTATTTTTAAAATATTTTTCCAGCCAAACTTTGTGTTTCCACTACTCCCTACTCCATCCTGTCTCTGACCTACACAGTTCAAATCCAAGTTCACACCCACAAGTCTGACTGGTACTCTCCACTGGAATATTGCAATTCCAGGAATCATGATCCTTGAAGGTATACCAATAACTCCTCTATTTTCATTTTGTCTTTGTGTAATTTTCCAAAGAATCTATCTCAAGTACTCCAAGCATACTGAATTTCTACAAAACAGAAAAGCCAAAATAACTGCTTTTCACAAGCATGTCTTTAACATCACACCTAGAAAAATCAATTTACCCCAAACAGACAGAAATTTACAAATAGGTATATCATAATAATATTAGCAGGCAACCCACAAATCAAACTGAAAAGTTCATCAAATGAAAGTGGCATATTACTTTTCTAACATGATGACTAAATAGTTCACAGTGATTAGGATATATTCAAAAAGTAATTAACACGGAATATAGGGGGAAAATGATGTTAGCTGTCATTTTAAAATTGAAAGTATTGGGCCGGGCGGTGGTGGCGCACGCCTTTAATCCCAGCACTCGGGAGGCAGAGCCAGGCGGATCTCTGTGAGTTCGAGGCCAGCCTGGGCTACCAAGTGA